TCGATACTCATCTGTCTCGCAGATCCAAAGCCCGGTGCCGGGAGCCTGCGACGCGAGATGGCGGCGGAACTCGCCAGACTCGGCCAAGTAATCCGTGGGCTGAAGCCACTCGCGGATTTTATCGAGCACTTCGGGGCTCAGTGCAGTTTCATCATGACTCACAAACTCGTATTCATCTGCTGTATTCGCTGACTTTGGCATGGTCAAAGAATGAGGCAGGAATTAGTTGTTGATGCCAGCAACAACACTTCAGGACAGACCGATGTAGTCTGTATTTATGTGACTGTAGAGACGCAGGCAGCAGCGCGTTTCAGGCAATGCAGACACCAGGCGCCAGCGGCCAAAGTAGTGGGGACTCTGTCACCCATAGTCACGTGCAGAAGGAGTTGACCCCTGTCTATCATGACTGGGTTTCTTATGTTGCTAAAGATGCCGAGTGGTTTGTTAGACGAGAGTTGGTTGAGAGTGAAGTATGTCATGTTGCGTGAAGGTGCTTGCAGGCAAGTCTTGATGGAGTCTAACGCTACGTTCTGGGAGGTGCTTATGCCGTTGCGAGTTTTGACTTTCCGTGTCTTTGTAGGTTGGTACTGTACTATGTACTGCTTTAGCGACCTCACTTCACCAAGGCTGCCCTCGCTCGCTTAGCATCTGCCGATATTAGCACCTACATTGGTGGGTGTCGAGACCTCTTGCCTGACCTAGGCACTAAGCCAAGCGATTTCAGCACTAGCATCCCTAGATTGATCCCCAGAACTTCAATTCCAGAGCATCCGGAACTTGCTCGCGGAAGCAGATGAGCCCCGAAACAGTTGAAATGCTCGAACCAGCCCTCGACAGACGGCCATCTCAACACCCTGCTTCGTGTTCTGAGTGTAAACGGCGCAAGCAGAAGGTATACGATCACGTCCGATAGCTTAAGACTGGACCTAACGCAATGTCAGTGCAGCCGAGACTGGCCATGTCGCCATTGCCAAGCAAGAAATGTGCCGCATCTCTGCCACTTTGCCCCCTTGACAGAGTCTTCAAGTGCCAACGACTCCTCTCTCTTGATAGATGCTGCAGATAGGGCAACGTCCCTGAGGTCCTTTGATGGTTCTCATGACGAGACCGACTCAATTAGGGGTTTCACAGTGGACTACGCGCACACAGTGAGTCCAGACGCAGCGTTCCCAGCAATCAACAACACTGGAGCATTCCAACGGACCCGGCCAGACCCCGTTACATTGGACAGAGCCTTACAAGCTCTACCACCTCGCCCATATACTGGTAAGCATTAATTCGATAACTGTAACTCGTTTTCTCTTATGCAATTAGATCTCCTGGTTCAATCTTTTCTAGAAGGGGCCAACTATCATTATTACATCATTCACCCGCCTTCGTTCCTCGAGCACTACCGAAAATGGTGGGCGGACCGCACTCTTCGTCGGAGTGTTTGCTCAGAATTAACGTGCTGCATCTTGAGAATATGTGCGTGCTCGCTACAGTATCTCGACACGGCCAAGCAACGGAGGGTAGAACAGGAGATGGGTCATTCGGCCCAAGACCTGACGGAAAAGTATCACGCTGCCGCTCAAAACCTCAGCCAGTCTATTCCGCCGGGCGAGGGCGGGATCCATCAAGTGCAGGAACTCTTGTTAGCAGCATACTGGTATAAGTCTGAGGCAAGGTCCGTCGATAGCTGGCATGCATTAGGAGCTGCAATTCAGATGGCTCAAGAATTAGGTAGGCCTAAGGATGTCCTTCAAACCTGTCCTGCACTGACGCTGCTTCTATAAATCCATGACGCTGCTTGCGAACATCGAGGAAACGAATTTGAACAGGAATTAAGGCGGAGGGCCTGGTCAATTCTCTATACGTGGGACTGGTCAGTACATATCTCTGTCTTCCGAACTTCCACTTTGCTCAGTCACTAAAGTATCCAGGCAAATGTCTGATATTCTTTCCCGCCCACGATTTATCAACCCAACTACTATCTCCATTAAACTTCCAGACTCCCATCTGGACGAACCCGTCCAAGGCACTGGCCCACCTTCGCCAATAACCCCAATGCTTCTACACTGTGGCCTTATACAGTCCTTGATTGAAGACGGTGGCACCGACGTGGGCACCGTTGTTGGCCGCCTCTCACCATCAGAGACCATGATTTATCGGGATAAGATCATTAAATGGATGCAATCATTCCCACCTGCATACCGGGCTGTCGACACAGATACACAGTTTGACCTGACATACTCATACGTGCCTCTTCAACGGCTTCAACTACATGCAACAGCATACGGAATGATGCTTCACCCTCTCAAACCTTACCTCACCCAGTACCAATACTCTTCAGAGACAGAGCTCTGTAAGGCAGCTGTTGATGTCTCGCTGTCTTCAATAGAAACGCTACGGAATTTCTTCGATTTCCTGTTTCCTCGATATACAAAGTTTCATGCAATCGCTTGTGCAGTGTTCGATACTGCCGCCCTTCTGTGCTGTGCTATCGCCCTTGACAAGGATACCGGCCGTCTTCCGCGGCGAGACGCAATACTCCTTGCCATTCGGGATGCTTTGAGTATTCTGCACAAGATCAACACGTCATCAGACTCGAAAACAGTGGCCCATTCCGTTCTTCAATGCTTGGTATCTAAATTACCTCTCACTAAGGCAGAATTCACGGCCATGGAGATTTCCGGGTTCAAGAGACCCAAGCTTGAGCTGTCCCCTAATCAGACCAGGACCGACGCCTCGAATGACCGGAAAGGCATTGACAAAGATCCGGGAAGGCCCATAGATAATTCGAAGACGACATTGCATGCACCTCACGAGACACGACTACCTCTTACGATGATGGAGTTGGAGCCACGGTTGGCTGACGACTCCCTTGTTGGCACTGACTTTGATGTATCCGATTATCTGGTAGACTGGGAGAGTTTAGCCTCCGGAACATGAGCCTAATGTATGCTCTGAACGTAGACAAGTGGGGAGGTTGGTAGTACTGATAAGGTGATCTTAGATCGAGATGGTTTAAGGAGACTCAACTCCTAATCTTCATCACATTCTTCCACGTGTTGGATTAGTGCAATCGACATGCCCGCAAGAGGCGATGCTCCACCTCCTGCACGTGGTCTTTCCGACACCTGAATCGACACTCAATTCGCTAATACTGGCTGCGAACTTCTTGAATATGCTCAGCCATCGAGACAATACATGGGTGCTCTAAATGCATACCTTAGCATCAGGGTCAACAAACGAGATGGCTTTTCGGACAAATTGGAATCCAAGAAACGGAAACGTGTCGAGCCAAGCCGGAGCATCGTGTTCAAGTTGGCAACCCTTTCTCAGACAAAGTATGCACTAAACACCTGAATCGCTGCCCTTATTGTATCGCCAATGGTCCCGGCAACAACTGTGTACCTCTGCCAGAGTAATAAATGTTAGTAGACCAAGGGTATAGATACCCCCTTAACTAGGGTTTACTACCTTTAGGGGGGTTGACGGACCCATAGTAATAAACAGGACCTCTGAGGTCTTGATATGTATTACTACTCTCAACATTGAGTATATCCGAATTAACGTTTAATACCCTGGCGGAGGAAGACACCCTCAAATGGCCTGGGCCATGGGTGATTTATCTGCTCCGACAACAAGTCCAGATGCGCTTCCTGTCGAATCTTGACCACAAAGCATGACGGCGAGGCACAACACGAGAAGCACTGGATGCATGTGTGGGCGGCGATCGTGGTGAAGGTCTGTAGCGAACGGTGCATTGTCTGTGGTGCTTTTCCATGTATCAGACCGACTTCAAAGAATTCAGACAAGGAACGGGGCAATGCCCTTCGTTCAGGTCGAAGGTACGCCCTCCTATGGCTTGAGATACTTATTTTACTGTTGGTAAATACCTCCACCATTCGTTGCTGACATGGGACAAACAAGAAAACGATCTGAGTGGCGTGTTAACCAGTTGTTCCAACGGTCTTATCGACAAGGAGCGAGCCTGCATGTGGCACTCCACCACTGGTCGCTGCCATTCATGCCAGCGTGGTCCCGGGTTGGTAGGTAGAGGTAGTGGAAGGGAGTAGTTTCGCTGATAAAACCACTCTTCTTGTCTTTCATCGTGAAAGATAAGCCCCTGGAGGGTGCCCATTGAGCCTGAGGATAGATCGGGCTACCTTCCTTTCTGTGGGGTTTGTCGGTTGACGGATCCTCGGCCATGACCAGCAGTTGACTGGCTCGATCGCGTGGACGAGCAGTCCCGGCCTGGGAAGAGCTGGCCGGGGCATCCCTTGCCAAAAGGCCGACCTTTACTCCTACTGCGCCGAGGCTGGCCGCGGTGTTGTTGGCGGGCGGCTTGATACAGTTGCCCGGTCGCCAGCGATGAAAGACCCACGTCATGAACGTGTATACATCATTTTGAGTTGCCACGGTGCCCAGCAGAATGCGGCTTTTGACATCATTGACGAGGTCAGTGATGTAGGGCAAGTGCTCCCAGACAACTTGAACTCCCGGATGGAGAAATACCATCGGACCTGCAGCCTCGCCCAGTATCAATACGGGCGGTATGATGTCTGCTTTCGGGTTGATCTCTGTGGTTGTAAGAGCGGTTGGATCACTTCAGGAGGGTTTGGGAAGGAAAGTTTTTTGAGATTTAGTAAGAGGGTGAGAGGTTAAAAGATGACTTGACCGAAGCTTGCACAAGGAAAGGGAAGGAATTGACCCTGATGGAAGAGGGGGGGCTGGCAGGGGGAAGGAAGGTGCGTAAGCAGCATCAGAATCAGAAAGATTGACTTAGAACATCGAGTAGTCAAAGACGGATTTAGAGTTCAGATGAAAACCAACGGCTGTTATTAGATTGCGTGACGGATTGTCCGCAACGGCGCTGAAAATTGGTTTGCTAAGAGAAAACAAGGGGGGAAGAGCTAAAAGCATTTAGTATCACGGACCTCAACGGGAATACATCGAGTGTTTGAAATTAACTGATTTGATGTTTATCTTAGGTGACACTTTTAAGCCTTTGTTACCTAGTGGAAATATTTTGGTACGACACCTTTGACATTCAACCACGCAGCATTCAATGTTTCAACCACTTCTTCCGGAAGCGGTCCCCTCTCTAGGTCAGCAAGATTTTGCTCCAGTTGCTTAACACTACTGGCTCCAATGATGATCTTGTCGCCCTTCTCTTTGCTCATCTCGCTGTGATGACACAACCATCCAAAGGCTGCCTCTGTCTCTGTAAGATTATGCTTCTGGAGTACTGGACGAATCGTGTCGAGGGCGTCAAAGTAGTAGTTGTTCCAATACCTCCCACGGTGCAAATTGCCCTGCCACCGCTTTGGATCGAACCGCGAGCCGGACTCGAATTGATCGTTGGACATGTCGCGACGATATCTCGACGTGAGGAATCCCCCTGCGAGAGGTTGGAATGCATAGAGCGCGATGTTGTAGTGACGGAGGCACGGCATGAGTTCGGGCTCGATAGCTCGGTGGAGAGCATTGTAGATGCCTTGGTAGACGGAGGGTTTTATCCAACCGTTCTTTTCGCATATCTCGCATATCTTCGCAACCTCCCACGACATGTAGTTGCTGATACCGAAACGTGTAAAATACCCTTCTTTGTACAAATGGTTGACTTCTCGAAGTGTGTCTTCAAAAGGTGTATTGCGGTCTGGACCATGGAGGTACCACATATCAATCTTCTCTGCTTTCAATGCTTCCAGGCTCTGCTTCAATCCTCGACGGAGATCCTCAGGACTGTGTGAGTAGATGTTTGAGCTCATATTGCCCATCTGTCTGCCCTTGTTGGGATATAGCTTCGTGTCCATAACGAGGCCTCGTCCCTGCCAGTCGGTCTGGCCCAAGTATTCTTCCGATGAGCCACCTCCATACAGTCGCGCTGTATCTATCTCATTGTGGCCATGGGACTGGAACGTGTCGAGCATGGCCTTAGCATCGGAAAGCTCTGTAACCCGGACACCCTCTACGCCTGGCTTGCCAATCGTCATGGCGCCAAAGACGACGGGAAGTGCACTCTTTGCCGTTGCCATGGTGGATGGTTTCCCTGCGATGATTCACTCGTAGATGAAAGGTATCGAGATAACAGGAGGTCACATTCTTGGGGTCGCCCTTTCGCAGTTTCGAAGGTCAAACTCTTCGTTTTGCATCTCGTTGTCTGGAGACCGGCCGGCGTTAAAGGTAGGTTATACCCTCATGTTGACCGGACATAACGATAGTTTATCTTCGATAAACCCCATTGCTCGTTTTATCTTTAGTAGGGATGCGCAAGAGAAACACTATGACGCACCAACGACCAGCTACGATCTTTGAATCTGGCCATCTCGGTCTCGCTATGGCAATGCATGCCTGCTACAGGGTGGGTGCAGCCGAGACCCACTGTAATCCAGTTGCATTAGCGCCATTGCGCTAAACCTTAACGCAACAGATCCGAAGAAAAGCCACACCAGCCAGTATCGTCCTTTGCCACTGATTCATGGCAAAACATCGGCTAATAAGCGGGACATGACACTGGCCACCTAGCCAGGCACGCTCGTGTTTTCTCCCTTCCCCTGATGGTGTCTAAGCGGTGGGCCGATTGTATTGTGCGGCCTTGATTGCAAGATGTAAATCAACGGCAGTTAGCGTCGTGCTCCGATGAGCTTCGGGAAACACCCAAAGAGATTTTGCCTCGGCGAGTGATAGATAGCCATGAAATGCTATTCCCGTTTTGGCGGCGATAAGATGAGATGCTCCTTTATGACCATGCCGAGTATGCCCGAGCTCCAGATGTGAAGCCCACCTGCACAAGGGCAAGTCTCTCATAAATAAATAAGTTCGGTCGCGAAATCACCGCTTCCTAGTAGAACCGTGCTACCAACGGAATCAAAAGTAACCGTTTAGCAACACGTTTTAACAAGCTACTAAGTCCTGACACGCCTTCCTAGCCGCGTTGAGCCGAGTCTGGTCTTTGCATTGCAGCCCGCCATGGTGAAGTCCATCCTCAGCCGCGTACAATCTACTCATAGATCAACAGGAGTAAAATAATCGATTTTGCGGTACGACATGGGATCCACTCTATTGTCGAAAAGTTTCCCATGACACTCAGCGGTGTTAAAGAAGCTGTGAGGAAACTGCGGAATGGAAAGGTGAGATACCGGGGTGTTATAAGCTGGGAGTACTGCGTTAAGAGAGGCTTCTATTTCACTAGACTAGTTTAACAGGTGCAATTGACGGCTGAGCACGAGAATAGAATACAATGTCTTACTACCAAACAATCAACATCTGCTCAAGTCTCAGTACAGTAAACGAGTTTATGAGAGAAGTCCAATCGACGATGGCGAAGTGCTCTAGGGTCTAATGTTAGAGGCTTGTTAGAGGGGCACATGTTAGTGGATGTCCCCTGCTTCTCGTGCTATCCCTGCTAACATGCCGTGTCCCACAACTAGCGATCGGCTGTAGAGTGTCTTAACCCCGAAACAGCCCACCAAGCGATTGTTAGTGGCGCACTGACTAGCCAACCTCCATGCCTCATAAAGGTTGAATCGCGCCTCGACACTTTTCACCGTCAGCAGGTTGCATGAGCTCCTTTCCCATACAGAGCCTCATCGCCCCACAAAGCTGCAAGAGTAAGCCAGTCAGCCCTTTCTAAGACGCTTTGAGCCCGACATGGAGGGCTCCGTCGATCCCAGCAATGCTTCACCACCGTCCCTTAGCGTCGTCATAATGCCCCAGCTAGTAGAGTTGCGAGACCCGAGTGACGACTGGACAGGGGTGACAAGTACGGCAGAGAGGAAGAGGCGTCAAAATCGCCTCAACCAGAGAGCCTATCGTAAGTATACATTTTCGTGCATGACGTCAATGCCGATTACTGATGTATTATGTTACATTTGACAGGAAGGAGGAAGCATGGTCTTCAAGAAGATAACCCAAAACGCTCGAAAGAGCCAGAAATGCGAAGAGAGGAGGACAATTCTCAAGTACAGCAGAGTAGTTTGATTGAAAACCATGGTGAAGAAAGAACCTCGTCGTGGGAGGGTTACGTCCTCATACCTTGCCCAAAGAGACGCGCCAAGATTCGAGCTTTCATGCAACGAGTTTACGAAGAGTACAGCATAAAGGCTCCACGGCCGAAGCATCTTCACGTACTAATTCGGCTCAATGCCCTCAATGCCGTGACATTAAACGCCATTGCAATAGGCTTTGCTGTAGATGGATTATGTCACGACGACACCATATCACCTTTCAGTATGGAGGGCCCCGGGTTGCCCAACACACCAGACAGTCACCAAGTATTGTCTTGCCCCAGAAGCCTTCATCCAACAGCATTACAGAGGGCAGTTCCACATCATCCTTGGATCGACCTATTTCCTTTCCCAAAGATGCGGGATAACATTCTCCAAGGCATAGCTGCGGGGTTTCTTGACGAAGATGAGCTCTGCCATGACCTATTGGAAGTTGAGGAGGCAAATCAAGAAGAGACACCGGCTCTACTCATCTGGGGCCAATCATGGGACGCTGAAGGATGGGAAGCAAGTGTTGCGTTTCTGAAAAAGTGGGGTTGGCTGGCTCAAGGATCTCCTGAACTTCTCAAAGCAACGAATCAATGGCGCACGGCCAGGGGAGAGAAGCCTCTTGCGTTTCCAGCCGAGTGATACAGTTGAGAGACACAGGCTCTTGTGAACAATTTGAATTCATGCTTTATGTAATGCCCTTCTATAACATGCTATTAATCTATAAGGGTGTTTTACAGCTCAGCCTAAACTCTCTAGCTATATGGTTAGAGGAGGTGTTACTCCTTTGCCTTTTCTTTTCCTAGCTCCTCTCCTTCGATTTCGATATCCACTCCCACAGCTAGTGCACCTTGTCCGCCTCCCGCACCAACCATCTTTGCTTCACCAGCTGTTCCAACAATCATGCTTGTATTCGTGACACGCTTCAACACCAGAGGTAGTAAAACTAGCAACGAGCCAGCCGTCAGACCCCAGTACGACCCGAACATTGTGACATAGGATTTCTTCTCGGCGTCAAGTGAAGCAACAATAGCATTGCCCGTAGCCCCGAAGACCTTATAAAAAGCGCCGTACATGCTCAGCACCAAGGGATCGTTGCTTAAGGTACCCATGATCCAGTAAGCAAAGCATTGCCAAGCGCCGTCAAGGAATCCGTAGAAGAAGTATAGAGCAATGTATCCTCCGGCGTTGCTATCCTTGACATCGAGCGGGTCGGTGACTGGATGATCCCGACTAGACTTGCGCAGGGGCCAAATCCCTGCAATCAGGACCCCATTGAACATAACAAACATCAAGACCCAACCCTACTTCTCGTTAGTTGATATTTATTAGGCTTTGTAGATGAAGACATACCATGATCGCTCGAGTCCTTCGCTTGAAGTACTTCAGATCCAAGAATATGCCCAAAAGTCCAGCCGATGCCATTTGGGCTACATTATACCAGATGGCATTAAACGAACGAGTGCGAACGTTGAAGAAATAACCATTGTAGTCGTTACTCTGGTATGTTCCATACCAAAGTCCGGCGAAAGAGTAGGGGAAGAAGAGAATGATCCAAGGCTCGACACGAACACTCTTTACCACATTCTTCAGCTCCTGAAGTAACGATGCATGCTTGACCACATAGACTCTTGTACCATCATCCCTGATGACCTTGCTTGGGTGAACCAATAACATAGCGACAAAGCTACCAGAGAGCATGAGAACGAAGAGTGCGATGTACGTGCCGTCGTTGACACTTCCGCTTGAGGTATTAGACCAGTTTTGCGCTGTCGGAATAATAGAACCAATGACAGCACCTTTAGAACACGTTAGCTGGAGAGCCGTAATCATATTCGTAGACAATATGTACCCATTGACCAAATAACCCAAAACAGACTGATATACCGGCCCTTCTGATCCTCTGTCGGATACGACATCAACATGGTGCCCTCTGCAGTCCTATCGAACGCCTTAGTCATAGCGACATGCAAGATTTGTAGAATATCTCACCATAGAAATGCTGCCGAGAATCCACACATGGCACCAGCAAAAAGAACAAAGCCATCATTATGTGTATGATTATAGCACCAGAAGGAAGCCGCAAACAGAGCATAGCCAACACCACCCATAGCTAGTGTAATCTTGGGGCCAAGATAATTGCAAACAGAGCCAGAGACTAGCGCCAGCGCCGCAAAGATTGAGTAGAGAACAACATTAGCATTATCTGATGTCGTCGCGTCAACCTGTCCAGCGCCTCCTAGCGAGGCAATAACGTTAAACATCTGAGCATAGCTGTCAATATCCCTGTGGGTTCGATTTTCTCATAGAACATGTTCTTACGCCAACTACCAAGAAACAAACGAAGGCAATCAGAATCGTTTGTGCTAAAGGGGATCTGTACGCCGGTAGCGTAATGGGTCCGATCTTGTAGCCTTTAGCGACAAGTCCCGTTCGCTCATCCGTGTGACCAAATTCGACATCTTCGATAGGTGCGACAGGACGAGAGGTCGAGGCCTCGCTTTTTCTTTGTTCGAGCTCCATGGCGTTTGACAAAAATGATTTCTTGTGTTTGAACGGGCGAACAAGCTAGTTCAGCGTGACCGTTGCCAAGTTTTTATGTCTATTACCTCCCTATGCTAGAGCACTACCCCTGCTATCTACAAACCACCCGCGCATTCTTGGTTGCATGCGGGGGTGGAGCATATAGATACGGGAAAGGAGACACGAAAGGGCAATCTCGAAGGATTCAAGCTATGTTCTGACGCTGAATTGCCCTTCTTGGTATCGGGCAGAGACGTTAGCTCCAAACGGGTGGACCGAACGGCCCGCGTAAGTATCCACCATTGCGCGGGCACGAACTCAAGGTGCCTTTCCGCCTAGGACCTAAGGAGTAAGCTTTCACGCGTCGTGGGAGTGACCGTAGCGCCCGTAGTGTGCAAGAAATGCCAAATTTTAAAATTAGGAGCAATGAAGCTTGAAAGAAATCTCGAACTTGCGAAAAAACGAGCCTCGGGCCTATGGCGAGATTGTTTCGTAGACATTACTAGAACAACAAACTTCTATTAAGATGGCAAATGCAAGCATCATTCTCTTAGGAGCTCACCACCCCCATTTCTACGTTCGTGTAGGAGTTCTAAAAGAGCGTAATGATGTCAATATCGTCGGATTCTGGGAGGAAGACCAAAAGCTTGCCGAAAAAGTCCATTCGCGCACAGGGATCAGGCGGTTCTCTTCCGAACACGAGTTGTTGAAAGAAAAGTTTGAGGTTGCTTTTGTCCACTCACTTGATCAGTAAGTAATTCAAGTGCCAAAGTCCCGGAGTTGAATGTTTCATATTAGTTAGATGCACTTGTAAATGCTTGATTTGATGGTTCAATGACGAGTTAGAACTAATTTGATAATAGTGATAACCCACGCTTGGCGCGTCTTGCTGCGGCTGCCGGCGCACGGGCACTGTTATTAGAAAAACCAGGTGCTACACATCCAAAGCACATATTCGACCTAGCAGAGGATTTGAAGAAGTATCCTGATCTCATTATTGAATGGGGCTGGGAGATGCATTATGCAGAAGTCATGGATATTGTTCGAGACCTTGTGCGAAAGCAAGCGCTGGGAAACATCACTACATCCCACTGGCATGGGGGTACACCATCTGGTGGCGGAGTAGAGCTCTGGCAGAGACAGCCCGGAACACTTGGTGGGATCGTGTATATGGATTGCTCTCACACACTGTAAGATACGCTATTCGAGATCACATCCTTCTCTTTGTTTAATGATGGCCAACTTTCTCGGATCTACCGGAAAAGAATATCCTGCTGACTTAGTGGTATAGCGAAGCTATAGTGGACGTCTTTGGGATGCCTATACGTGTGTGTGCCAGCATACGTAAATTGCCGAAATCTGAAGAGAAGCATCCCATAGTCAGTTGTTGGTATGACATGGACAAAGATGAATTGGACCCTTCAACTACAGAATTTGCTGTGGGTGATCTCATGTATGAGGATACAGGGAGTGTAATCCTTGAATATGATACACATAACGTGGTTGCTGACTTCACTGCCTGGGAACCAACCGATTGGTGCCAGGACTGGGGTATCAACCTGTACGGAACCAATGGAACATTCCATGGTGTTCTTAATCCTCCTGTGGGGCAAATAATGCTTAGACAAGAAAAAGCTGGGTATAAACAAGGGAAGACGGATATCGCCACTCTGAAAGAACAAGGTGTAAGTAATCAGGCTGGATACTATACTCGACAACTTGACCTCTTACTGCGGCGGACGAGGACTGGGGAAGAGACTGAATCAGCCGGATTGCCGATACAATTGAAGTTAATGAAAGTCCTGGATGCTATGTACAGCTCAGCCGAACAAGGGAGTTTTATTACTATACATTAGACGGCCACTGAAGTTGGATGTTTAGGTGTATAGACGGCCCATAGGAATTAGTCGTGTAGAGATAATGACGATAACTTGATGAATTCTCAATGAGGATCCCTTGAAAACGTCTAAGCATCATATAGTTATATCGCACGATATTTTAAAGCTAGTGGAAAGTCGTATAGGTTCATAGATCTTTTGCTATTGCGACATAATATTATGTCCTGGTAAACTGAAATTGGAGGCTTCTGATTTGCTTGCACATGTACGACTTGACACGGGAATCACTTTTTCTTTGAATTCAGATTTCGCAAACTTTTAGCGACCCATTTCTGCACCGGTCAACCAGGGATATATTAAGCCTATTTGCAGAAAAGCCCAAGCATTGCATTTTAGTTGCAGTATACCGGTCGATTTACAGTGAACTAAGCCTTCTCCTTACGGAATTTGATAACCTCGGGAAGCTTCTCTGGAGTATCCCGCATCTCAGACAAAATCAGGTGATCAAAGCTAGGAGCATGCTCAACACGAGGAGTGAGAGGCTCAAAGTCCCACAGGTAGCTGAGGGAGCTGATGATGGAGCTGGCGGAGTAAGCACCAGTCTCACCAACACGGTTCAGACCCTGTTGTACAACACGCGGAGCAACCCAGGGCGAGATTAGGAAGGTGGGTACACGACCACCTAGACGGTTGAACTCGAATGTGTAATTCTCACCAGTGGGAACAGTCTCAGTGTAAGTCAGGTCATCAGGGCGCACGGCCAGTGGGGGCGGGACGTGGTCCGCAAATCCACCAGTCTCGTCGAAGCTAAGTACAAAGAGGGTCTCGTTCCTAAATGTCATATCTCAGCATATGCATGTTACCAATTTCACACGCGATGCTCTTACCATTGAGGTCCAGCGCGAAGAGCCTCGTAGATGTCCTTTAAGAACTGTTCGCCATCACTGATCAAGCCAGCTGGGTGCATTGAGGTGGTGCCCACTCCACAGCAGTTAGGGTTAAGATAGGTCAGTTTGGGCAAAGTTCCAGCAGCAGCATCAGCGTAAAATTCATCCATAGAGACAATATGGTCGGTCTTGTTGTTCTATAACATCTCATGTCAGTCATTGCCTTCTAAGGATAGTGGGAGTAGGGAAATGCTGAATAGAGATGTCTCGAGAGTAATTGTCCAGTTTGGGACCGTATATTTGTCTCGGTACTCGAAACATAGCTATAAGAGGTGGAAATGAACCCCAGAAATAACTCACGTCATGAGTCCAAGTAAACCATGCTGAATCTTGCATCCCGGTGTCAATGATATAGTTCTTCCAGCTGAGGCCAAGTTCATCCACAGTCTGGAAAATAGAGCGGGTGGGAATTGTGTTGTAGTCGAAGTTGTTAGTTCCCTTTCCGTGAGAAGTACCAGACGTGGCAAACAACCGATTAGGGTTGGTAGGCTTAAATTCGACGGGTATTAGCTAGAAAAACACAGGAAAATCTATGGGAGATACCTACACCAGCGTGGTCAGAGTGCCAGCGGTTGAAGACTGTGAACTCGTGAGTCAGAGCCGTGATAACAGGGACCTGCTCCTCGGTATAGTAGCCCATAACCTGCTTGATGAGGGTGTCATTGCTGTCGACCTTCTGCCCGTACAGGCGAATCTGCTCGTGAACAAAGCCTCTCATGGTCGGCTTCAGAGAGCCGTCCGCAATCGCGGCATTGTCAGGAGTAAAGGTAGAGTAGAATTGAATGTTATTGCCGTGTACAGAGTGATCGGGATCGTTCAAGATCGAGTCATAGTCAGCTGGCTCGGTGCAGACGCTGTCATGGTGAGGATTGGTGACATTCAGAGGGTTGCAGAATGGCCCCTTCATGATGGGGTTGTTCAAGCCCTCAACTTTCTGGCCACCAAGGAGGTTGTCGACGGAGCGGTTCTCCATGATAAGCCAGACAACGGTCTTGATCTTGTCCTTGAAGTTGGCGACAGAGCTCTTAGAGCCAGCATTGGCCCGGGGCTCAACGGGGCTGGCGCCGACCGTGCTGGTCAGCGCAGCAGCGGCAGCGAGAATAACTTCGGCGCGCATTTCGCAATTGAGCAACGGGGATTCTTGTCTGGAAACTTTAACTGCCTGCTGGCGGAGATCAAGTTCCTCTATTCTGTCATGAAGATGCGGATCATGCTTTTATATATCCTCGAGGCTCGTGCCTCCGATCAAGGCCCCGCTGCGACATTGCCCAGGATGATGCTGCGAACTGATGGTATCCGACAACGTGGAAATGCATTCGCCGCAGTGTTCTAGCATCTTACCCCTCGCCTCTTGCAGAAGCTACCGCAAGCTTGCTGGCGATAACCTGCTTGCGATAACATCTTAGTGGTTGGACCGGGATGCCTTGCGGTTGATGGTAGCCAATGCACTTTCATAAAACTGACACGGGACCTTGCCGATGTCAAATTAGGACACCGAGGTGAGGAGCACAAGGGCGACGGGGATCATGAAATGCACGAGGGAAGACAGAGCTGTCTTCGAAATAAAGCCAGTACGATTGGTACAGGATCCTTTGCACACCATAGCTCCAACATCTGCGAGGGGTTTATTAAACTAAATATGCAAGCCATATGCAGGCCGGCCGTTAGCTCCCCTGCCAACCCATCACGGCATCCCGACAATGCCGGGATTAGACGTTCAACGGAGCCCACGTGGGTGGGTACCGCTCGGCAATCCGCCAAGCTCCCCCTCTTGTTCCGAAGAATGGACGCACGTGGGCTCCGGCCACCTTACAACAACCAGCTGCAGAAGATATACAATGTAGGAGAACCTTGGTAATGGGTGGCCATCTATTGGCCTTGCCTGGGTTACATTTCCACGCTGGCATGTCATTAGCTCCAGCTCATTCAAATTGAAGCTTATTCAAGCTTCCAATGACTGATCAAGCTTCTGCCGAGGCCCTTTCGCACTCCGTCAGTGGAACGAACCAAGCCGTGTCTACGTTTCACAATTGGTCCCATTACTACAAAAGTTGACACTTAGTTGGGGATCTATTGATCCTTCATAGTAAATAGGCAGAAAAGAAGAATCCGACTTCGGGATGAAGGGCAAACATGAGCTACAACATCGTCAATGCTTCTTCTCAATTTCCGGCGAGTACCCATCAACTTACTTAAGAGCAATTAGAGTTAAGGTTTGAATGAGCTGTGCCGCAGCCGCGAAGATGCTATGTTTCAACGATTTCGGTGGTGGCGTTACCGAATTCATCGTGGTGCACCAAGATGTGGCCCACGTTTTAGCGTCGCTCAAACGCGTCAGTGCAAGATCATAGAATGGCAACTACATCAGCAAGTTGCTACTTCGCACGAAATAGCAGGGTCGACAACAATATAAGGCCCTTTTAGTGTACTAGGCATGCACGTTTGCGGTTCCTGTCAATGTCTCATAGAATCTAGATTGTATACTCGTTTCGAAGACATTGGCGAAAGGTAGATCACGACTCACCCAACAACCCCCAGGCAAATACAAGAGCCTTATATATGGAGTACTTGATCTTCAAGGCACGTGTTTACCCTATACAACAAATCCCACTAGCCAGTGTAATTCCAGATATCGTGACCAGGCCAGAAGAGATATCTTATTTCATTGTATAGTGAATCTTTGTCTCTATGCTAATTCTATGACAATCAATGTACATGGTATCTGTCGACATCTAATTTGAGAAAGTCGCCGCGCAAGAATCACATAGAATTGTGATAGCTTTCCTACCAGCTTCCAGCACTTCATCCATAGCCAAGAAGGGATGTGGCATACCTCCCATAACATGAACTTCCTGCTTCACACCCGCTGCCTTGAGTTTCTCGGCATATTGCTCGCCTTCACTTCGCAATACATCAAGCTCCCCCACAATGACAACTGCTGGGGGAAGCTTTGCAAAGTTCTCTGAAGGGTACAGTAGAGGGGATGCCTCCGGATTTGGCCAGTCCTTCTCATTAGGAAGATAATGCCTACGGTACCAGAGCATCTTCTCAGCAGGAAGCGCTGCTGTGAACTCGCAGTCCTTGTAGGTGGAGTTGGTGGCAACAGTAGCTGTGTTGTCAGTGACAGGGACGATAAGTAATTGAAGTGCAAAGTTGATGTCGCGAGATAAAGCTTTGTGTGTCATAATGGCGGCGAGATTGCCTCCCGCAGAGGACCCTCCGATGGCCACCTTGCTTAAATTTAGATTGAGGACCTTCTTGCCTTCACCTGCTACCCACAGTACGGTCTCCCAGGAGTCATGCACTGCAGCTGGCCATGGGTGTTCCGGGGCAAGCCTAATTTTGAGTCAGTTTGGTTTATGATAACACTTTCCGTTTCATTTAATTAATCAAGACGTATTTGTGTACACATACCGGTAGTCAGTCGTGATAACAACACATTTCGAGCGCACGCACACGTTCGTGCATACACTGTTCTCCGTTGCGATGTTGCCCAACACCCAACCACCACCGTGATAGTATATCAGGACAGGCCAGCCAGAACTTGGGGCCTCGCCCTCTGGTGTGAAGCACCTGATGGCAACGTCTGGGCCTTCTGTCTCTTGTCTTTTGAGGAAGATATCCTCAGTCTTGCCGACTGGGAGCGGATCGCTTCCTCCGGGGATGATCTTGCCGCCGACACGTGAAGCAGCCACCGGTTGGTAGTGCACTTGCGGCGCATTGATCAAGTACTGGTTGTAGAATGCGACATACTCTGGATGCAGTCTATCCTTGACGGATTCATGCAAAGGGTATGGCGGCTGTGGAAACTGCGTCATGATGATGATCCTGGCGAATGGGGAGACCGGGATTTTCAGAAGGCTGATTGTGGTAAAGTAGCACCGAGAACAATCAGGGACAATGTGTTTGGACTTTCAAGGGTCGTCGTTGTCAGATGTATCGACAACGAGAGGGGAATACAGTGAATAGACATGACTAGTCTGCGATCCCCTGCCCACCTTAGATTTGCCCGTTCTGAGATCGCCCGCTTTTGCCCACGCTCCCGCCTAAGAGAGTGGGTCTCCACCACATGCCCACGTATGAACGAACGGATGATCTTTTGGTTCACTGGTCTCTATTATGAAGTGTTTGTGGTAATATGGGATATCCAAGCGTAATTAGAACGTACAAAGAAGGCCCATTAGAACCTAGCTTTGTTGAGTCATCTCGACCAGTCTTCCTAGAGTAGCATGGGCTTCCTGAAGCAATTCCCACCGGCAATCTGACAATGCCTCCCTAACCGTTGACAAGAGTCCGGAGGTTTGGTTCTTACCACTAAGCTCATCTGGATCTCCTCGCAGACCACTTAGCATATGGACCAGATACTCCTCTGCACCGAATTTGTTGCCGCTAGGCAAGCCTTCGGTCATCACTCCATACGTCCAAAGGACCAGACTGGCGTGATATAAACACCAAGGGCGTAAGGCAATATTGTCGTCTGCGGCTCTATACCGCTTTCTGGTAAACATCGTCTCCTGAATCAACAGAACACAATGCGAAAGTGCTCGTTTGGCACCTGATGTTTGAGACCATGCTTTTAGTCGCGCTCTTGCCTTGTCGTACTCATCCTTGGTAATGCTGTTGCTAACGAGAGACGGCGCTCCGACAAAAGTATGGAAATCAGTTAGCTGAACGTTGATTATAATATGCGCTATCCTGTGTAGCGGCCTCGCTGCCTCAAGGCACAGTGATGGCTCTTGCGAAAGGAGAGAAAACGACCAAGTATCGATAGCACGATCAAGAACCTCTTTCCAGTGCTCGTCGGCTCCCATCGGAGATGGCGAATCCTCTTCTCCTTCGCTGGATCTCTCAGCAGCTACATCGATCGCCGTGATGTCTCGAGCATGCATGTATTTCATGACACTGAACAAACCATGGAGCAGGATGAAGCGAGAGAACGGACTGCAACTCGAAGGGAGCGGTCGACGGGATAGAAGTGACCGGAGTGTTGGGAGGAAATACAGTGGCTCTTCATATTTCGCGAGCGTGCGCTTCCATCTCGATGCCGAGCTCTCCCAAATCTCCTCCGCACAAGGCAATGGGAGCCTAAGGTCGCTGACAGATAGTGCTGGCATGTGGCCGAAAATTGAGGCATGCTGAGCATCCATGATGAAGGCGAAATATGCAACCCTTTTGGACGACTCCTGTTCCACCCAAAGGTGCCATGCTCGTTCAGCCGAAGACTCTTTATGCGCCCCTTCTACCTTTTCATTTGAATATGATGTGCCACGACGCATGAGCGTTATAACAGCACCATGAAAAATGTGCCCCATTTCATGGTGTTTACGTGACGAGAACATTTTCTCATAAGCCTGAACTAATAGCAAGGCTTGAAGGCACCATAGAGGTGCCGGAGGCTGGAAGCTTCCACTGCTGAAAATGAGCCATCTCAAGCTTTCGTGGATCCTCTCCGCGACGCGATAATGGCTGTCATGAGGTGATAGAGTAGCCCCTAGGGTAAGTATAGAGACCAGTAGTAGAGGTTGTGTGGTCTCAATTGTTAATGTGGCACGATGTATGATAGGGAAATGTGCATTGTAGTTGGCAAAATACGCGTCGAAGAATGCCCGAAGATTAGAAGGTTCAAAGAATGAGTCGTCTAGAAGTTCAGGTGGGAGACCACGAAGGGCTTCAATGATTCGACTCCGAACAACAACCCAAGGGTCTAGGGTATCAACTGTTCCGTCGACGTTCGTCTGATCAGAGAATGTACTGTTGGGAGATGTGGATGGTATGTCCGCAAGAATGGGAAGTCCGAAAGCGTTGCTCGCGGCATCCATTGATACTGGCGGTGCTGCCCCAAATAGCCAATCGAGATCTGCTGCTGTATCTTCAATGTTTGCGGATGGATCAAAGAACATGTGATGCTGATAGCCTGACTCTGCCTCCCGTAGAAGATCCGGAAAGCCGACGAAGTCGATTTCATTGTGACCCAACATCACGTTTTCTCCATCTAGGCCAATGATGTCGGCGCCATCATCTGCCATTGACGGAGTAGGTAAGCTGGGAAGATGTAGTGAAGGATCTGGCACGTCTTCCGTTAGGGAAGCTGATCGCACTCCACCGGTCGGCGGTGTGTAGCCGCCTGAGTTGCGCAGGGCCATGCCTCGTTCATGGCGTCTTCGATGTCTCTGAAGCAAATCTAAGCGCACAAAGTTCTTTGAGCAAGATTCACAGGTATAGATCCTTGTTGGCCTGTCTGCAGTTGATACTCGGTGAATAAAATGTGTCTAATAAGCGAATACGTGGGGCGCGAACATACGATTCAGACGATGCCGTGACAGGTGCTCTGGTCTCTTGAAGGTCTTTGAGCACTCCGGCTCCGGGCAGGCATACTTTCCATTTGGGTCCATTCACGCTGTAGGCTATGTCCCAGTAGCTACGGCCTAGTATAGGCCTATTAGCTGCCGAGGACAGTATCAGGCTTCCTTGACTGCACTCAGGCTTCACGTATACGCGCTTGTGATAGCCTATGCATGCCGGCAGGGTGTGGATATCGGTGCGGAATATCTTGCAACGCCGCAAGATGTTCCAGGTGGGACGGATGTAGAGTAGAGATCGTCAATGTTGCACTGCACATGTTCATAACCTCATCTCTAGCCACTTATCTGTTCTGCGGAGACTCTGGGAATGGGGCGCGTCTCTCCCAGTCACGGGGTCTCACCTTAGTCATGAATTTGTGGGTTAGGTTGCCATGGCGCGGAGGTGAACTAGCACTGACTCGGCCATAAGATGAATCCGGTGATTCAAGCACCGTGACCACGCTATGGCGCTAGGGGAAAACAACAATATGTCTTCAATGGGCTCAAAAGCTTATGTCATAGATTCAAACACTCTCCTAACATTTACTTCTCATGAGCGCTGATAGTGAAATGCATTGGCACACGACAGAATAGCATAGGAGTGAATTCATCCTGTGTCCCATGCACAGATAGGTTAAACGGCCGATCACAGGACTTAGTTTATCTGTGGAGAACCCCACGTAAGACCTTATCGCGGCGGATCCCAGCCCACGTAGCGCTAAGATCTTTCGGGGACACATTCAACATAGGACAGAGACAACAGCATGGCTCGCCAATCCTCTAGCAAGGGGGAGATCAGTTCTGAGGGTGGTTTGACTAAATGATATCGAGAAGATGGGAAGCCTTTCAGATTCAGTTGAGGTGTTGGAAGGGGGCAAGGCATGGCACCTTTTTCCTGGTCCTAAAGGGATGACCCTCGGAGAGGCACCGATCTACAGAGCATTTGATTCGACGCTGCATTGGGTTGACTGCCTCTCGGAGCCGCCCAAGCTACACATACTAAAGTTAACCCCAAATCTGGTGATTTGTCTCTAATGCTGATGAGGCTTATCGTATTCTAAAGCTAGAGGATAGTGTGAGCGCTACATCCTCGCCGTTCAAGCTCAAATTACGAGGCATGGCAAATGGCAGCTGGAATGCTGAGAAGGATTGAAGAGGGAGCCGGCATCTTCGAAATGCAATTGGGTTTGAATTCTGGGGTTTGAATTCGGATGGTCGCCCATGTTGATGAATTTGATGCCTTTCTCGTTTCTTCACCTTCTAAATGGAACGTATCGTCCTTAAATATAAACAGTCTATCCGCTAGGACTATGTAAATACTATAAATTGGAACTGTTGGCCATGAAATGGATAATAATGACTAAGTTCAGGAATGAGTTTATGTAAATGATTGGGACGAAACAAAGTCCACAGCTTCCTAGAGGAGGCCCCGAAGAAGGCATGAAGGGGGCCACGCTTGTCATTGCAGCGCGTTCAGCTGGTTGAGAGTTTCATGCTTTCCCTTAACCTCTTTACTAGCTATAAGAGAGAATTGCTAGATAATTGGACATATGTCAAGTCAATACTGCCAGGTTTTACAGGATGTCTCTGTAATGGCTTCAGAGATATGTCTGACTTGTATCTTTGGCGCAGTACGTATCGTGTTGCTCTGAGAATATTGGCTGCCTGCTTCATATCAAAAAATTCACGCATAGAAGGCATCCAATAACCCGCTAAGGTGTGTAAAGTTAGGGGGGTAGGACCATTCAGATTCTAAATGTAGCAGATGCCTCGGGCAAATCTTAACCTTTGCAACGAAGTCTTCCACCCGGCATACCTGAATCGATTCAGTATTGTCTGAATTGATAACTCCGGAGATTTTGTAAAGTGAGCTCTGCCAATTTGATACTGGGAGGTATTCCAGAGTTGCAGCGAGGGCCACAGGAGGCAAAGGTGGAACCAGGTTCAGGTTACATTTTTTTGAAATTCGAGTCGTTGACTTGGTTTGCCATGACTGATGAGTGAGGATGTCAGTGATGACAACCAAGACAGAACACAGAGGACGAGTTCAGAGGCACTATAGGAAGGGAACAAGACTGGACGACAGCTGATCAATGCTACTGACTCCAGAGTCACAAACTATGTTGTAATAAATTCGCCCAAGCAGCTGCGCTTTGAAGCCATGCCTCTCGCACACGCGTTCGCTGAGGTCTATCTCTGTCATGGGGTAGACTAGTCACTATCACTAGCAGTTGTCACAACACGATTGCCAGTAGCCTGTGTCTGCATTAATTTCTTCAAGATAAGGATTATACTAAGCAGGAATGTCGTCGATATTGCGAGTGAGGGTACTCAAGGGAATTACCCCTACCTTAACGCGCTGCCAATTGAAGATAACCGCATACTCATTTATGCTAGCTACGGTGAAGATATACCCTACGGGAACACCAAAACTAGCTCCTCCATAGGAAGCAAAGAGCTTGAGGATTCGAGGATTCGACGTCTGTCTTGACCTGATGATAATAGCCAAAGGATTTTACGATTTGATCACCCGGGAAGTGTAAGATATAATTTTATGATCTTTCCACTTTGATGACTGTACTGTTCAGTCTATAGAGACATTCTTGTCGCAGTTTTAAGCAGACTATAACGGACTTTACCATGGAATTTCCCCCACGGATGGTTCACTAGTTGAAATGTATTGCAGCACCAATCCTTTGCTTATTCTTGAGGCAGTTAATAGGCAAGTTCTCCATATGATTATATAAAATTATCGCTTTTTCCATCAACGCCATACCTCCTTCCCAATTATGATACACCTATAGCTCACTTCCCCTTCGAGCCAGAGTATAGACCTCGCTTGCTCCATATACCTGTTGGATGAACATATCAGCTTCACTGATGATCCTCACACTTTGATCCACACTTGGTGAACTCGGACCTCCCGAGACCTTCTGCCAACGCTGGAGCAACTGCTTCAGATGATCACCCGCCTGCAAGATCTCTGGTCCGATAAGACCCCGCAAAGAAGGCACACGACATGCAGCAAGCAAAACCAACATTGCACCGGCCATCCTATGTCTCTACGTTAGTCATCATTGAAATTTCGCTAGATAAATGGCAAAGACTTACGACAGCGAACAGATCCACGTATCCACGAGGACTGTCTGACTAAAGCCCCTGAGATTCAGTATGTGTAGCAGACACGCATCAAGACACGCTTTACAATTCGTAAGCACATCCTGGCTGGGTGCGTTCACATTCATCCCGTCACTACCGCTCCCGCTGCCACTGAGCATCCACATCAGGTAGGGTCTGTAAATGACACTACGACACGTCAGATACCGCTGTCTCAGAAACCCACCGGCTTCAGTGGCGGTAGCTTCGAGATCAACACTAAATGCAAAAGCCGTGGGGAGAACATCCCTCCATTCATCGAGTTGATGATTGAGCTCTGCGACGACATATGGAAAGCGAGCGCTATCAAGCGATGCTCCCGTGCCTCTTGCATACAGCAACTGATGCACGCGGTTGAGGAGTCGGCGCATAGAAATGCAAGCTAGGAAATAGAGTGACGATTCTTCTTCCAGAGTCTGAGTTCTGTGTGTCTCGTAGGCGCCGGGCAGAGGAATCGATGACTCGATCCGAGCGATACCGGACTGTGGAAGTGCGGAAAGTTCCGCAAGGTAGTCACTAAGTGATGATGAGTCCCAGAAGCTGCGATATGGTGGGAAGATTCCTACCTTTCAAGGATGTAGCATGACCAAAATATCCTCCTGATTCGTTCTTGATCTTCCACTGGCTCACCATCAGGTGGGTACGACATCAACAAGAGGCATTTCGCAGAGGCCGCATTGATGTACTCCCAAGCAAGTAGCGGTCGCCGAAGAAAAGCAAAATACATGCTGTATCCGTCAGCAAAATGCACCTTTACAATTCGCCCGCCGTCGAGACTTACGCGACAAGGAACAAACAATGGGTTGCGGTTGAGCTGACTTCCATGTGTACCAAGTAAAGCTTTTTCAAGGCAGTGTCCATATATATGTCGCCCATCGTCCTTCTTGATGCTCTCTTCTTCATTTCTTCGTCGGTAAAAGTTGTTCCTGCTGTAAGGCCTTCTATTACCTGGCTCGCGCACCCCAGCGCCATGGTTAGCAGCGCAAGAACTGCGGATGTACCCTCTTCCTCCGCAATGCCCGAGTTGAGCATTTCTCGAGACTTCTCTAATTGTTGTTGAGACATAGTCGGATAACAGAAGTTCACATGGCGTTCGAATGCTCCCAGGATAGCGTCGATATCTTCGGCGGTAACACTAGCAAAGAGGATCAGTAGGGATTATTCCAGTCACATTAAGACAATGGCCAATTGGGCTAATCTACGGCGACGAGAATCGTAGAGATACGCTCTCGAGCCACGATGGCTATCCTCACTTACTAGGGATACATTGTCGAAGCTCGTGTCTTGACGGGAGGCCGTGACTGTTCCAGCTGAAAGATGGATACATAGTCATTGCGGAGAGACGGGAACACATCGAAATGCGGCCATTGCAAGACCGACTCCGTGTTAGACGTGTGCATAGAATCGAGGACTGCATTTTCGAAGCTGTTTCCATTTGCATGATGCGGCTCGCTGATTGGAGTTCGAGGCGGATGATGGCCATGTTGCGGGTGGCCTTCAGTAATGGGCGAGCCCGTGAAAGAACTGCCGGAGGCAGGAACTACAGGTGACAAGAACGACTGTCGGCGGTCCAGAAAAGGCGACGTCGCCTGAGCAGCGCTGATGTTAGACGGTGATTCACATACGCAGAGTCCAAGCGACTGACAATGCTAGCATTCATCTCATGGAGGAACTTCTCCACTCGGAGCACGCCCTCGAGGATGAGGTCGCTTTTGCCCCGTCTGGGATAGTGTCAGCAAACCAGCATGATATCTGGAGCAAGTCTTGGCTCACGAGTTAGCTTCAGATCCATACGTGCATTCCTGGTCCGAGACGGAGCAGGCAGCACAAGGATTGTTTCCATCGCATCTAAGCGTTGCATGTTAGGACTCGTGCTGAAGAGCGGATCCACTCGCTACCATGGCCTTGGAAACGAACCTGATCTTCCGAGCACGGCAGACATCGCACTAGAACGATCACAAGCCAGGTCAGAGCTTTTGATGAAGCTGATATTATAGTAGTAGTGGTCATCTCAAAGACTTGACTTACAGCATGCGATGTCCTCAGCCGTTTCCTGGTTGGCTCAGCGCGGTCGCTGGTATCCATTGAGTCCATTGGACAAATGGCTGCGCGTGGGCGAGGGACGCCGCATCCGAGGCGGACCGAGAGTGGTAAGACGATGTTGGAGAAGCGAGTGGGAACAGCAGGGCACGACGCTTAATAAACCTTCCTCTTAGGCCTGGGCTGCCCTGGGCCCCCGCCGTCTTCCCCGCACTGGCGTTACAGAGGAGACCGAGGGGAGGGAACACGAGGATGGAACGCTAGACGGCGGAAGTGACGCCCGCTCGGTCATGTTCGGTCCGTGTCTCGGGGTCATCCCACTTGAGTTTGCGCCTTCAAAACGCCTCCCTCCCATCTCTGATTGATCTGACTGCGGCTCGTGATTGAATTAAATTGGTGCCTTAGACGCAGAGAATGTGGGTAACTGGGGCGCAAATAGGAGTCGTTTTGCGGGACATACCGAGCGAACAGTAGGGTATTGATCCTGGCGTAGTAGGGGATCAGGCATTTTGTTTAGCGAGGTATAGCGGCCCTCTTACATGTCATAGTCAGCTCATTTATCTCCTACAGTGTCACTAGTCTCTAAACAATACATCCTTTGTTGTATGGTTGGGGCGGGTTCTTGACTCGTGTTCTTGACATGACAAGTTTCGATGTCCTTACTCTTGACACTTGACCTTCACTATGGATGGCAAGCGAAATCTACGCTTCACTAAATGATTATACCAAGACTGTATTGCCAGTGGCGGCTGCAGATTTCGGAAAAGCGAATCATTGGCAGTGGACGATTGAACCGGGACCGTTAATATTTTCAGATTTTCGACGTACTTTCTCTTCACGGGGCATATTTTGCCGCAAGTTGTCAGCAATTGAGCCATACTTCGCAACCACTACATCCACCGAAATCCCTCGCATTTGGAAGTTGATTCCATGCTATGCAGGAAAATCCGCCAAGCCCTGATGCCTTGATAATGCTCCCAACCGCCGCTTCCTGGATATGTGTTGAAGACACCCTCTTTTGGACGCCATGATTCCCTCTAGATTCTTCATGATATTTAAGGCTCACCCCAGATCTCGTCGGCAATCTGCCTCACGAGCGACAGCTTCTTCTTCTCGTCATCCTCACTCAAAGGGTAACCGCTCTCGTGGGTGCTGAAACCACACTGCGGGCTAACACTGATGCGCTTCAGCGCCTCCTCCTTGGTCTGGCCGCTGCCCTCAGCAACGAACTCAGCAGCCTTGTATATGCGGGCTTTCATTTCCTCCTTGTCCTCGAGTTGACGGAGCTTGGTGCTGATAACGCCAACAACGACGTTCTTGTTCTTGGGGAGATACTTTAGAGGCTCAAAACCACCCGCACGCTCTGTGTCATACTCGAGATAAAACGTGTTGACGTCAAGATTCTGGAATAACTTTTGCGCGATGATGTCGTAAGCCCCCTCGGCAAAGAACCTGCCCCCGATGAAGTTTCCTCGGCATAAATGAACGCCTGTGTGGAAGTCGGCCGGGAGTTTGGAGATGCTGTCATTGTATAGGGCGATGTATGCATCTAGCAGTTCGTCGACAGTTCCGATGTTATCCTTATCATCAGCCCAGCCTTGGCGAAACTTCTGCGAGCAGAAGTCTAATCGAGGTCATCATAGTTAGTAAAAGGAGGTGTAACAAGTAGAAGATGGAAGGCTCACAAGCAAGGCCCGGGTCGTCAAACTGGACGTTACGAAGGCCATTCTTGTATAGCAAATCAAGCTCTGCTTGATACACCTTGGCGACATCCTTGAAATATTCGGCATCGTTGGCGTAGGCCTCTGGTGTGTAAGCCTTGCCTTGCTTGTAACGCATGTGGAACCAAGCCGGGGTAATCATGGTCATCTTGATGTTTCCCCATTCCTCCTTGGGAACAAACTGCTGGGCGAGCTGCAACTCATGCAAGTTACTCTTACTCTTTTCAGGGTTATGGCTCAGCTTTCCACCGGCAATAACACTGTCGCCAGGCATGACATGGCGATCTTTCTCGATGAGCGATACACTAAGATATCCATTGTTAAACCCACCGCCATCAAACCCTATTTCAAGAGGGAACATACACATCAGGGTGATACAAACGGAACATGTCTGCAGATGCCTCCTGAAGAGCAGTCGTACCCTCAATTTCATCCCAGAACACTGTTCAAGTCAGTATGTTAATTGGTTCACCGTGCATGCATGGTTCTATATAATGTAGCATTCGTGGACCACATGCTCTGAGCACATAAAGATTTCTAGGGTTATACTCACATCCCCAGAAACGAGTTCGTGTGTATTCGCCATCGGTGACAGCCTTCAAGCCAAGATCACGTTGCATCTGAATTACAGCGCTGACAGCTTCTTTTTCCGCGGCATCAAGACCGGCATCTTCGGGGGCGACACCCTTCTCTCGGATGGCTTCGCGGACGTCGAGCAGCTTCTGCGGTCTCAGAAGCGAGCCCAAATGTTCGGCTTTGAAAGGGGGCGCCATTTCGTCAGTGCCACAAAGAGCGTAGTACGGTGATGGTGTTCTATCTTAGAGGAGTGTTTCTACAGACCCGACGACAGCTCTGTTACCGGAGATCTCACGAGACAACGACAAAGACAGCGCTTCTTGACGTCGTGAAGAATTCTTCTGTCCACCGGCCGGTCGGGCCCCGCACTCATCTTCACTGCCCCGCCTTCTTGCCACTTTTGCGGCATCCACAGACGGCTTAGCCCGCGATTCGAGAGCCATAGATCATCGGCATTGGATCCCCAAGAATAGCCTGTGGCTACAACGCCTCATTGGCTCACCCGTAATTTGCTTAGGATGCAGCGCCGTAGCATTGCCTGTTCCTTTGACACTTTGACACGGCATCAACACCCGGTGCAGAAAGGAGCTGTTTAGGTGGCCTGAGAGTGCAGACATTGCTTGGTGGGGCAGCCGAGGCGATTGTGTGTTTAAAAGACTACGTCATCAGAGCGACTAAAATCACCAGATCCTTGGATAAGAGAACCCGGGTACCAAGATCATGGAATACCTCTACCAGGGAGTCGGTAACGCTAATCTTGAGCATGTTTATGTAAGGTGATATATATGGAGATTTGAGGATTTTAATGCCATAGTAATTTAATTTAATCACTTGAGTCGCCATAAAATCTTACGCTTTGCGAAATCGCCATTATTAATTGAGACTGCCCCTACCCCGTTATGACTCCTCCAACACAGCCCAGTCGTCCATACCCCTTTTCCCCTGATCATAGCCTATAACTTTGCATTATGCCGTGCGCTAGTGTCGACGAAATTAAGCAAGGACCTCCTTCGCATCATGAGTTACATTGAGAGTATTCATGACAGTTTGGGCGGTCCTCTTTTCTAAGCTCTTCTTCACCGGGTTCGGGGCTTCAAACACCTCAGCTAACTCCTCGAGAGTACGATCCTTCGTCTCAGGGAAGAAGAAATAGATGAAGACAGCCTCAAACAAGTCCCAGAATAGGAAGACCAGGTAGAAGTAGTAAGAGATGTTCTTGAACGCCGGCCCTGAGCTGTACTGGATGACAGTGCTGGCAGCACTGCTAGCGAAGTTGCCGATGGCAGTGCCCTTGGCTCGTGTAGTAGTTGGCAGTGTCTCGGCAATGTACATCGACTGCAATGGAGTCCAGCCAAACGAAAAGACTATGCCAAAGATGAAGATGAAGGCGACAGTCGTGTTGGCGGCCGATTTGTTGCTTGGATCATCGAGTGAGAGCTTGCTAGTTCCGGTGATGATGGCAAAGCAGCAAGAGCAGAAGATGATCGAGTAGATCAGTAGGGGACGACGGCCAATGACATCAGTCATGCGGGCACCGAGAATGGCACCGAAGAAGCACAGGACTGGGTTGATGCCGTTGAGTGCCAATACCTTGTGCTCGTCGGTGATGCCCGCATTCTTAAGCATAGCAGGCAGGTAGTAGGATGACAAGGAATTACCGCTGATCTGGCCAAAGCAAGCCATACCAAGAACACAGATGAGTCGGCGTCGAGCGCTGTGAGTGTTCCAGAGCTCGTGGTAGTCCCACCACTTCTTGTCGCTGGCCTCGGTGTGAATTTGAGTCATCATCTCCTTGAGTTGCAACTGCACCATTGGGTGGTTCTCATCACCCTCGCCGTGATACGTCGCCAGCACCTTGGCCGCTTGATCAACCTTGTCTTGTGCCATGAGCCATCTTGGAGATTCAGGCAAGAACCAGACGCCAAGAACAACAATGCCTGAAGTGATCATTTGGCACCAGATGGGAATGCGCCATGCGGTGTTCGAGTCGATATAACTGCAGCCATATACCACCCAGCTGGCAATGATCGATCCGATGTACCATGTACAGTTGTACAGTCCAGTAATGGTGCCGCGCCAGCTGGGGTGCGCCATTTCGCTGACGTAGCATGGAGCAGACACGCAGCAGAAACTGACTCCAAAACCAAGAACGAAACGACCGCCGAGGAATTGTCCACGTCCAGAGCTGGTAGCTTGAACGCAGGTGCCGATAATGATGATCAAAGCCCCGGTGAACATTCCCACTCTTCTACCGAAGTAGTCATTTACGGGTCCGGTACAGAAAACGGCGGCTACGGAGCCAATGTTGTACATTGCGAAGACAAGACCGGTGCTGGAATCGGCAACAACCCTGGTTGAATTGTAAGCAGATAGCGCATAGAGCAATTTTGAGAATACCCACATTCCGAAGTAATTCTGATATGACTCCATACCGTTCAGTCCTCCCATCAAACTGCGAAGCCGTTAGAATTGAGGCTTCCGAAATTGCAGGTTGGCAGGGGTACTGTACCTGCCATCATAACCATTGAGCGCACCACACAGATATGCGCACACTGTAAAACATGAGTATTCAAATTGACAAGCTTCTACCGTAGGGACTCATGCTTACATAGAACAAGATAGAGTTTAAACATGCGTGGCGTCCAGGGCGAGAGTTTGTTGGTATCCGCCTCATGGGCAAGCTGGACGGCGGCGTCAGCATCGCGAAGCTCGTCGCGATGATCGACAGCGGCGCCCTTCTCCTCGGCAGTAGCCATTGTCTAAAATTATGAACTCAACAGTAGTCGTGAGGATGTGCTCGTAGAGCCAGAAATTGGAAGCTCGGGTGAGAAGAGATATTCTCGTTGATGAGGCGAAGGCGACTCTTTAAATGCTCAGGTCTGCTGGAGGGTGTTGGAGGGCTACCACAGTTCGGGCAGCGGTCGTACGACCGGCCACAACCCCTGGGATGTCTCTTTCTACTTCAATTTCTTCCCCGCATTGCGGAGATGTCCCGGGGCGACATGTGGTCTTGCGAGGTATACCACCATGTATCAGCGGTATTGAGGGTGGAAGCGGGCCATGCTCCTGGCAGGAGATCATTTAGGTTCACAGAGTGGGCTTGGGTCTTCATTGGCTCACTACCAACGCTAAATTAGTCTCCCTTTGTAGGGTCACACATCAGCATCAAAATATCAATATTGTCCAAGAAACATCTTCTGACGAGGATGAAAGTGTTCAAAGCTCCGATTGAAAAACAAAAAGCAACATCTCATGAGAAGAGTGACGCTTCAAATGCAATCTGCCCTGCGTTATCAAGTTGGGGGTGCTGCAATTGACCCTGAGTACGATAATACTCTGAAGTGACGATTTCTTGGTATCTCACAAGAGAGCCGCGAGGAATACGCCTAGAATCTCAAGAATGTGGCGCCTTGAACTACCCAATTGACCCTTGTAAATGTCCTCGTGTCTGGTCCATCTTTCTCCGGGTACAACGCCTTTACGATCCTGTCTTGGCAAGCGCTTTGAGTGCCGGAGCACAGATCCATCAATCAAGTGACAACAGAGAAGCCGGGAATGGTTACATCAGGACCCAGTTCGGCTCCGGGTTCCCCGTGCTAGCCGCACGAATCTTGGGGTTCACTTTTAGCCCCGAATTTCTTGCTTTAGCAACTTGGTTTCCCCATCTCTGTCAGGCACTTTCTATCGATTGGTCATGAGATGCTTCGGTTCCAGACCGATACTGTCGACGTTATAGACAACATGACCGGTCACGACCACAGACTCGTGCTTCCAGACTTCTGGATTCGTCGTCTAGTCGGTCCGCTCAAGCCGACGACTCTCCAGCCCTTGTGGCATGTAACGGACGATCCATGCAAAAGTCGGAGCTCACCTGGCCCCCAGGCATTGCCATGCGGGGCCTTACAGCGTTAACAAACCCCACCATGAACTCTTCAGGACTTGGAGAGCTCCAAATGAAGCTCCAGAGCCCCACGTCGTGTCTGCCTACCTGATCCGACGGGACTCTCGCTCGAGGTCGCATTGGCAATGTGACCGTTTCTCCGTCTCACGACGTTCTTATAGCTTGATCAGCGCATGAACTGTGTTGATAAACCAATTGACCTTTCATCCTGTGCTTGCAAGAGATTCTAAGGTTCTATGCTCTGTCGTGAAGCTCCAAACACAACTTACGTCACTTCAGAATGGCTCCACGCGGCATATCAGCTCAGGAGCATCCAGACAAGCCAGACTACTGCAATGAAGCTGTGTTCCGCAGAAATTGTCTACCCACCCGCTCTTACTTCATCCCAGAGACGTCTTTGCTACTCAATGGCTCGTGGGACTTCCATTATGCCTCGACGCCTCTAGAAGCGCCGGAACCGGATGCCCCCAAAAACGAGTCCTGGGGAAAGATCACTGTCCCTGGCCAGTGGCAGCTCCAGGGCCATGGCAAACCACACTACACTAACGTGCAATTTCCAATTCCCGTCTGCCCTCCATACGTCCCAACTGAAAATCCCACGGGCACCTACAAGAGATCGTTTTATGTCCCAACTAATTGGGATGCGAGCTCCCAGCTAAGATTGCGGTTTGATGGCGTTGACAGCGCATACCACCTCTGGGTAAATGGCGTCCTTGTGGGATACGCGCAAGGTGCCAGAAACCCGTCTGAGTTCGACGTGACAGAATATGTCAATCGGGACGGTGTAGAGAATGAGCTCTTCGTAAGAGTGTATCAGTGGTCGGATGCCACCTACATCGAGGATCAGGATCAATGGTGGCTCTCAGGTATTCTATCGCGCAATCCTCTGCTACTGCGCATGTGCTGACTGAAAGTCTAGGAATTTTCCGCGATGTATACCTACTGGCGCTACCCGAAACACGTATCGAAGATTGGTTCATTCGGACCGATCTTGACTCTAAATACGAGAACGCAACTTTGCACGCGACGATTGACACTTTAAGCAAGGGAAAGGGAACTTTGAAATTGACACTGTCTGAGCTTGATAAGAATGGTGCTGGCATCATTGCTGAAAAAGAGGTCTCCGTCACATCTGGGTCATCGAAATTAGATTTGGAACTCGCGGTCACCAACCCTCTCAAATGGACGGCCGAGACCCCAAATCTCTACCTCGTGACACTTACATTAAATAATTCCTCTTCTCACCCCAACATCATCACGCAGCACATTGGCTTCCGTAAGGTCGAACTCATCAAGGGTTTAATGACCGTGAACGGCAAGCCAATCCGGTTGCGCGGCGTGAATAGACATGAGCATCACCCGCTATTCGGACGGGCAGTGCCCCTCGATTTCATCCGCGCAGACCTGCTTCTAATGAAATTGCACAATATCAATGCTCTACGCTGTAGCCATTATCCTTCTCATCCGCGCATCCTTGACATGTGCGACGAGCTAGGCTTGTGGGTCATGGACGAGGCCGATCTCGAATGCCACGGCTTCTACGACGCCGTCGCCCGTCCACTCGACATTCCCGAGGCGATGGACTACGAGGAGCGCAAGAAGCTGGCTTTCCCACAGGCTGCCAAGTACACCTCCGACAATCCAACATGGAAAGAGGCTTACATCGACAGGATGCGAGCTCTAGTCCAGCGTGACAAGAACCATACCAGTGTCATTGTATGGAGTCTTGGAAATGAGGCATTCTACGGTGCAAACCACAAAGCCATGCATGACTATGCCAAAGACTTTGATCCTAGCCGCCTGGTGCATTACGAAGGTGATGCACACGCAGAGACCGCGGACATGTATAGCTATATGTATCCATCGCTTGAGAGGTTGATCAAACTGGCGAAGGAAGAAGGCGTCGGCGCGGATGGCAAATTCGAGAAGCCAATTGTTCTCTGTGAGTATGGCCATGCAATGGGCAATGGACCAGGTCTATTCGAAGACTACGAGGATGCTTTCAGGACCTATCCACGTCTCCAAGGTGGCTTCATCTGGGAATGGGCCAACCATGGCTTGTGGAAGGAGGATGAAGATGGCAAAGGCTACTATGCCTACGGAGGGGACTTCGGGGACGAGCCCAACGACAGTACTTTTGTCATGGATGGCTTGTGCTTCAGCACTCACGAGCCAACGCCGGGTTTGACGGAGTACAAGAAAGTCATTCAACCCGTCGGATTCTCTGTCGAAGGCGAAAAGATTATCCTCCAAAATCGCTACGATTTCGCCGATTTGAAACATCTGGTCGCGACTTACAAAGTAGAGGAGTTCGGCAACGAGTGAGTTCACTTCTAATGCTTTCAACTGGCTCTTTTACTAATAGCTGCCCCTAGAACTTATCTGCTAGCATCTGGCGAATTAGAACTGCCCGACGTGGCTGCAGGCGAAGCTGGTGAGCTCCCTCTGCCAGCGTCTTTGACCAGCTTCAAGAGCCAAAAAGAGGTCTTCTTGACCATATCACTTCTTTTGCGTGATACTACTTCGTGGGCCAACTCCGGTCACGAAATCGCTTGGTTCCAGCATCGGCTCGCTGAGCCGACCCGTGATGGACATCTCACAGCATCGAACCTTAATGCACTATCGTCTCAAGTATCGGTTTCCTCTCCGACGGCCTCTACTGTTGTTATTTCCGGACCAAGCTACAGTTTCACTTTTGATCGGGCCCGCGGGTCACTGACGAAGTGGACTGTCAACGGGCAAACCATCCTTGACGGGGCACCTGCCATTGCCCCATCCTTCTGGCGACCAGCTACAGACAACGATGTCCCTGCATCTCTACCTTATTGGCACCGTTTCGGGGTCGATTCATTAACCTCTCAGACACGGTCCGTAGAGATTGACACTAAGAACCCTGAGAAAGCGATTTTGAAAGCCCACACCTTCATCAGCCCTCCGGTATTAGCGTGGGGCTGGGACTGTGAAATCGAATACACCATCGCCAACACTGGCACGCTACAGATCGATGTCAAGAAATTGACTCCTACGGGGGCATACCCTAAGCACGTTCCTCGCATTGGTCTGAATCTCAGATTGAATAAGATCCTTGACAACGTGCGTTGGTTTGGTTTGGGCCCTGGCGAAAGCTACCCAGACAAGAAGTCCTCTCAGCGCCTCGGCATATGGACAGTGGGCTCGGTGGCCGACTTGCAGACGCCCTACGAGGTGCCACAAGAAAATGGCAATCGCATGGATACGCGATGGGTTACGCTCACCGATGCACATGGGGCGGGTGTGCGCGCTCGGGCAGTTGGAAAAGCAGACCATGGCTTCAGTTGGCTAGCCAGCAGGCACAGTGCCGAGACGATCCAGGCAGCGCGACACCCACCTGACCTTGTAGAAGAAGATGTCACTCTTCTACGGCTCGATACTGCTGTTGCTGGTGTCGGCACGGCCGCTTGTGGTCCGGGAGTCAGGGAGGATCAGTTAGTCAAGTGTGAAGAGGTTACATACGGCTTCCTTTTGGAAAGTGTAGGCCTTTGATGGAGACGAATGATGGTTACATGGGAGGCATTGTCATTGAATGCATCAGACGCGTTGATTGTACTTGATAGAGATACGAATTACATTTAGACAGACTGCGATTATAGATCGCTAGAAGCTGCTTGAAAACATCGCTAGATCTTACTCGAACTGACCATCCCCGTGATGCCCTTACTCTACTCCGTTACACAAATGCCGCCCCGTTTACCAGGATTGTCTGCCCAGATATCCAGCGGCTATCATCACTTGCAAGGAATTTCACCGCAGCAGCGATGTCCTCGGGCTTGCCTAATTCATTGAACGGGCTTTGGGACTTGATCATGTTGATGAGCTGCTCGCTCTTGCCCTCGAAGAATAAATCCGTGGCAGTTGGGCCGGGGCCGATGGCGTTCACCGTGATGCCCTTGGTTGCGAGATCCTTGGACATGATGCGCGTCATCTGCTCGATGGCGCCCTTTGTCGCGCCATACAGCGTATATCCCGGCTGCACAGTGGACGAATGTGCTATTCCTGTTGATACCAGGATCACACGACCGCCGGGTGGCATGTGCGGCACAGCTTTCTGGACATTTTGTTAGACCAAAGATGCATGACAACACCCAGGCTGATGAACAAAACTACGAACCTGCACTAGAAAATACGGGCCTTTGACGTTGATAGCGAAGGTCTTGTCAAAGTCGGCCTCAGTTGTGTTCATGACTGACCTCATTGTCATCACGCCCGCGTTCGCCATGACCACGTCTAGGCGACCGAACCGCTTCACGGCTTGAGATACCAGGCTCTCGATGCCCGCTATGGTTGAGACGTCCGCCTGCACGGCCAGGGCGTGCTCAGCGCCAATTGAAGCCACCACAGCTTCAGCGCCAGCAGTGTCAGAGGCGTAATTCACCACAACCGATGCGCCATCCTTGCCCAGGCGCTCGACAACTGCCTTGCCAATGCCCTTGGAGGCACCAGTGACAAGAACGACTTTGCCAGCGAGAGACATAATGACGGCTGAGAGTTCTTGATATGGGTGAAATGTGGCTGATTGGTTTTCTCTGGAGAGTGAGGCTAAGGCTTGGGATTGCTCGCGAAAAGGATAGTATCTAGGAATCTGAAACGTCCAGTGAATGGAGTATGCTGTGCAATAGGCAGCGAGATACATCGAGGCACGCAAGGGAGATGGGTGGCACTTTTATACATAGCGTATAAGGCGGGATGGAATTAGAGATGCAGCCGGACATGCAATGCCCGACTCTCCTGAAGTCCATCATGAACTCATGCAGGCCATAACACGGACGAAGGCACACAAAAAGCTGACAACGCCTTCTCTCCTGCAAGACGGCGGACGCAACCGGATGCCGGGATTACTCAGCGATTCAGCCACCGTTTGTAACAGAGCTTGAACGGCACCTACTTCCGAAATGAAGCATCGATGTTCAAGCTTGGTATCGAGTTCTTCGATGGCGTAGGGCTGAAAGGCGCCTGTATCTAGAAATGGTTAACGAGCGGATGAGAATGGCCTAAGAGTGGACTCGGCGCACCGCCGATAGATCCTTCGGATACTCTTCGCTGTTCGGCCGGACAGGCTGTCTAGGAATTATGTAGTGGTGACCTGCTCCTAATGGCCGACCGATCGGCTTTGGAGAAACACCCGCGCTGTAAAACCGGTTTGGTCCCGCGGACGGATTAACTCGCAGGTCGATCGCCGACTATCCCACACCGGCCCCCGATTCTATGAAAGCCGCCGCGATTCGCGTATGACGTATATTACACATGGTAGTCGTTGTATATATCGCTAGCTTGATGGATGCATACATTTATGTCCATCAAAAACAATTTTGGTAGAGTCACACTTATCTCCTGCCGTAGCCAGCACTTGACAACTCGAGACATGCATTCAGTCTTTGGGGCACTCTCAACAAGCTAGGGTCCAGAGGTGCAATGGTCAGCACCTAACTTTTTCCAGCTTTGGTCATTGGCTGGGACTGGTCGAATCTACAGAACGGCTTACGCCGAGCGTCAGTTAGCGAAAGGAATAAAGTTGTTGGGGAAATGAAGAAAAAGAAAAGCAGCCAGGATGCCCACACGCGCATTTTGACAAAATGCCATCTCGCTCCGACACAAAGGGAGGTATCTGCTAGCATCGCCTAGATAGTTTTATTCTAGTTATCCAGACACTGGTATCTACAATAAAGTTTTAGGCATAAATCGTTTGCGATGTTCCCGGCGTCTCTTGGAACTTTTGTGTTCGGAGCCTTGATTTGGGCTCAGGGCAGTAGAGAGTGTCTGGGACCAACGTGCTATCTCTCGCGCGGCCTTGCGATTGCGATCGCTTGTTTTGCATGGCTACTCATTTATCACATTGTTCTCTACCCTTTCTATTTGAGTCCACTTCGGCACCTCCCTAGTCCTAAACAGCCCCCCTTTCATCGCCGGTTGCTGTCAGATCCAAGTTACAAAACGCTTGTCCGATGGGTAAATGAGGTCCCGAATGATGGCTTAATCCGCTTCTACGGCCGCCTCAACGCAGAGCAAGTGCTTGTGACAACGCCACAAGGCTGCAAGGAGGTCCTACAGACCCAAGCTTACAACTATATCAAGCTTCCATGGGCTCTAGAAGTCATGGGCCAATGGGGCCCACAGGGCATTCTTGTTGCACCACCAAAGAAGCATCACGTAGGCACTCCATCACCCTGCTAACAACGAGTTGGCTCACGCTGCATCACAGGTTGATCGTAAAATACTCCAACCAGCTTTCAAGTTCAAATACATAAAAAGTTTATCCCCGACATTTTGGACCGAGGGGGCCAAATTTCTCAACATCATAGAAAAACAGCTTCGCGACGCTGGAAACGGAGTGATAGACATTGGCGAAAGACTTCATCACGTTACCCTGGATATAATTACTCTGACAGCATTTGGTGCTTCGATTCATGCCGTGGAGCATCCGCATTCGGCTACTGTCAAGCACTTCAGAGACCTGTTCACAACAAAGAAGAGTCATTTGATTTATCGCTCACTTGCATTTCTACTCCCGGCTATAATCTATCGTCGGCTGCCGATGAAAGCCAGGCACGAAATTGTCAAGGCACAGGAAGTAATTACAGATTTTCTCCGCCCATTGATTAGGCAGCGGCGACTTCATGCTGAAGAAAAGAGTTCTGAGCAATATGGGCAGGGAGACATCATCGCAACACTATTGCGATCTGGGCAATCTTTCTCAGACGATTATCTGATTGACCAAGGAATGGACTTCCTGGTAGCAGGCCAAGAGACCACTGCTACTGCTGTTGCGTTTGCTCTATACTCACTGTCCGAGAACTCCGAGGCCCAGAGCCGCCTTCGAGTGGAAATCCGAGAAAAGCTTCCTTCACCGTCCACAGGCGCACAAGTTGATGCTGAGCTCCTTGAGTCGCTTCCGTATCTTACAGCCGTCTGCAGTGAGGTCCTCCGCCTGTACTCACCAGTTCCGTATTGCCATCGACAAACAATAAACTCTAAAGCAACAATCGGTAGGCTCACCATTCCGCGGGACACTATCGTTGTTGTGGCACCGGGACTGATCCATGAATCCCGCAAGGTCTGGGGATCTCAAGCTTCTGAATTTGATCCGGAGAGATGGTTAGTCAAAAAAGATGGGGAAATCAAGTATGATCCGCTAGGCGGAACCAGCGACACATGGGCTGTCATGCCCTTTACTTATGGGCCCAGGATGTGTATTGGAGAGAGATTCGCCAGGGGCGAGATGATGTCCCTTGTTGCACAACTTGTTGGAAGATTCGAATGGAAATTCAAGGGGATAGGCAGGAATGGAGATAAACCCATGAGGATTAGTCGCACCGTGGTCGCCGGACCTGCTGGGGGTGGCGTTACTATGTACGCAAATCGCATTGGAGGATGGTGAGATAGAGAGCAGTTTATCTCTAGGTCTTTGCAATCAATAAAGTGAGGACCTGGTGGAACTATTACTATCGAATTTACAGCATTGATGATAGATAAACTGGTCAGTCTGTCCCCTCACAGCTAGTAGAAAGATTATAGGGTCTGCTGTAATGAACATATACTATTGACGACGGCCCATAACAGACATATAATCGCACGACATCGGGAGCACGTGGTTGGCGATAGTCCCTTGATTGAGAGTTATTATCGGAGGGCATTCACATTGATACACATAATCAAATATACATTCTTCGAGCCCAAGCTTGGAATTTCTTGTAAGTTTTACAGTACTAGATTTGATACAGTATTGTTGGATCATCCAGACAGTAAGAATGAACGATTCAGTTGTCACAGCTTCTCAAGAGGACAGGCTTCGGCCTTGAAATGCCCCGATGGTCCTGCCTTATTCAACGTCTGCCCTGACAATGGGCCCAAGCCAGGACTGATAGTCGTTTGGATTTGTACCGTTACCTCCGTACCGCAATACTCGCAGCAATGGACGATAGTCGCCGGAGGTCATGAGAATATTGTTTCCTTCCTCATCTGACAGCCAAGGATAGGCCCAACCGAACGTGTCAAACGTGTAGGGGTAGATCCATGCACCGACGTTAATGGCATCAACAGGCACCGTGCCAATACCAAACTGGACTAAAATCCCATAGGTCGGCACATCCAAAAAACCCGGAAGAAGTGATAAATCAGGATCATGCGTCTCGATGGCTACACCCGTGTCGAATCCGTAGTAGGTTGGTACAAAGGATGTATTGACGGGTACAGCTTCTAGGCGCATGAAGTTACTTGGCTGAGCGATGTACCATTCAATCAAAGGGAATACCCATGGATCGGGGAAAGATCCATTGAGATAAGCGAAGTTATACTCTCCGATGTTGACCTCGCCTGGGTGGGAAGTGTCGTCGGTCACTGACGGGAGATCAACTCCAACGAGAACTGATGTGTTACGCGCAATATAGTTTGCATCATATCGGCTGTAAGGTACGCCGACGTAAGGAACTACATAGCTGTTCGTGTCACTCGAGATTTTGAAATACCCAGAATAAGTAGGTAGTGACTCCGGGCGGGCTTCTGCGGGGGGCGATACCGAAACAGTGATTGTCCTTGACTGGTTTGGCCTCAGGGTAAATCGTGTCGAATCTGTGGCGGCTGTCGCATACTTGGCTTCAGGAAGAAGACGAAACCGAAGATATCCTCCAACTGTGCCACTGGTGAAGTCACTGAATAGCCGCATGTAAGAAGCTCCCTCGTGAGATATCTGGTACGACTTTGGGAACTTAGATGTGTTCTTTATAGTAATGGACCGGGGAGCCGGGGTGCTTGAGTCCCGAAAACTCAAATCCGGGGGAGAGATTAGAGAGTCAGCAACGACAGCGGCATAGGCATTTATAAGACCACTGCCTTGATGCGCTGTAGAGGACAGGATTTTGGAATTGAGTCCGTTGATGGGAGTTGATGTTGACTGAAGCAACGATGCCAACTCGAGTACTTTGAGATTGGGGTGCTGGGACTTGAGCAGAGCGTAGCAACCTGCGGCAAATGGTGTAGCCATTGATGTACCAGAAAGAACTGCATAGCCACCAGCACTTATTGGCCAAGTGGCCAGAATATTGCCACCAGGAGCAGATAGCTGAGGCTTTTGGGTCAGCTCAATTGTAGGGCCAATCGACGAGAAATAATCCATTGCCCCGCCAGCAGGATTAGTCTTGTCATGAACGCGAGTATTCTGAAAGGTCAGAGTTAAATTCTGCCCAGGAGAGTTCGAAATATCGTTGAGCATTTGCTGAGATGAGTAATAGTCCAATGAAATTATAGTATAAACATCAGTCAACCCTGGCTCAGGCATGATTATGGGAGTTGAGGTATCGACTGAGTAATAGATGATACGCGTGACCCCTATCGTGTCGAGTAGAGATGCATATGCATTGATTGAGCAGGTGCCATCAAGAGCGATAAGGATAGCGGTATGCTGTGGGTTTATGATTAAAGTTTGCGCGGCTGTCCAGGATGGGAAATAACAACCATCAGAGACTGAACTATTGATCGGAC